CATATTATGTTTTGTGTTATTTGAATATTGAAAAATCTTGAGGTATCATCCATTGTGTGTTGTTGTATATTTGGATTATTTTCTTCTTTGTTTTTAGTAAAATTTCATTATGTTATGTTCAGGGTGACTCTAGTCAGCCAACACTGATGACTTGCCAAGAAGCCTTTAGACCCTTTGTTTCTTGGTCTCTATAACCCTAATAAAATTAGAACCTAGCCCTAGTAGACCACAACCTAGCTCATAACTTATAGGATAAGCCCACAAGGATGTGAGCCTACTACATGGATATAGACTCAAGAAGGCTAGCAAGCAATGGTGCAACACAACAGCCAACACAGTCCAGAAAGTCCATAAGCGAATAAGTCACATCCGTGTAGAACGATCTATTCGTGTAGACTCACCTATCACGTTACTAGACTTTCCATTCAATTCATCCTTCTCATGGTCGTGGCATCATGGTGTCGCGTTCATGCCTCACAGCCTGTTGGCATGAGTCCACCGGTGGACCTAGGGCCTGGCGACCCTGGGCCTTCGCTCAGGCTCGTCAACGTTTGACTCCACTAAATTTAATTAGTGTGCAGCCCATGTATAGGGGAATTAGGCATACTTAGTTGTTTATCCCACTAAACCGCCCCGGGCTCCCAAAAACCTTTGGGTCTGCTACTGCACAAGTGTCTTCGCTCCTGCACACATGGATTTGTTCGAGCCTACAAGGTACACCAAATCTAAAAAATTGCAATTGTTTGAGTAACTTATCTGGCGTTCCATTCATAAACCTGGTAGTCCAATGGTGGATAAAAAACATCTTGAATTTCATTTGGTATATTAACTCCTCAAACTTATGCTAGTTCTTCCTATCACCACAACATAAATGGAAAGGTGTTTTTCAGCTGTGAAAATTGTGAAGATAGAATAGAACTATGAAAGCATATTGTGGTTGTGGAATTATGGATGGATCAATGTTATCCTAATGCTTAATAGTAAACAGTCGATCACTTGTTGTTTAGCCATTACTTGGACTAAACAACCACTTAGATAGGCAAAACGGCCGTTTAAACGGGATAAACGACTAATAACGGAAACGATGAACCACTATGTAGCATTTAAATGGTGTGTAAACGGGTTTATGGATGATTGTATCATTTTCTTCGTGGAACAAGAATTTCTTGATGCAATTCCAAATGATGATATCATACTTCACTTTCAAAATATGGATGATCGTACCCTTAGAGTTAAATAATATAAGAGGTGATCACTACTGTAAAGAGTTTATTTTGTCAAATTATGATATTGCTAAATTTCATCCCTCCATGGATGCTTGATTCTTGCAATATGTCATCGTTATTAAAACTTATGACTATGTTATGCATGGTGTTGGATTATTATAAGTTTTGGTCATAAGTCTGTGCGGACCAAGTGACAAATTATCCTAGTTTTGCGCTGGTTATGTTTCTTGTGGTATTCAATTGAAAAATTTTAGTGTATCATTCACCTTTTTCTATAATAATGTTTTGATGTGTTCCTATTAGTTGGAAATGTGGGTGGTAACTAAATGAAAAATCACCCGTGTGATTACCAGGATTCAGGAACCACATAGGACAAGTCTTGTAATTGGCATGGAATGCGTGCAACATAGTGGAAGAACCAGAAGCATTGGCCTGTTTGGAATGCATCCAGCTAGCGGTAGAAATGGATTCAAATGATGATAGTGCTAGAGTCTGATTGCCATAATGTAGTGCAGACGCTGTGACTTGGGGAATGGAGGAAGAGTGATAACTGAAAAAATGCATGCTTGGAGATGCTTGCAAGTGGTGGAAGTGGAAGTTTGCAAAGTAAACTCATGTCGCACGTTGGCTTCTCATGACGCTTGACGAATTGGATCTCCCTGATCCTCTTTTTAGCAAGCACAAGCATACTTCTGGATGGACAGTAGAATTTGCCATGCTAAGGGCTGCCGCAGGGACACCCGCTGTCATCTCTACTTTTCATCCTAGTGGTGGAAGTCCTTAATGTTGTAATCCAACATGCAGAGAATCGGCTTATCTTGAACCCTCTACCAAAGCCTATCAAAAGACGAGTTTCCATATACGCAGACAACATTGTGATCTTTGTCAAGCCGACACAACTAGATCTGACTGTGGTGTCTGCAATGTTAAATGTTAAAATTGATTGCCGAAACATCTGGATTGCACACAAACATGGCTAAATGTCAAGCTGCGCCCATCGAATATGGAAAGGAGTTGATACTTTTGGATCGGTTCTTCCCTTGTCAGCAGGTCAACTTCCCATTCAAATATTTGGAATTTCACTGTTGATCTTCAAATTGGGTAAGGTTGTTGGTGGACCAAGTTTTGGATAGGTTGCCAACATGGAAGTCAGGATTACTGAAAACCTGGTGGGTCTCTCTACTCTCACCAAGGTCATCCTCTCATCCATGGTGTCATGGTGGTCCATACCTCCATCTCTCTTAACATTTCTCCATGTATAATCAAATTCATTGACAAGAAGTGATGAGCTTTTCATTGGCGCGATACTGAGGTGATCTCAGGTGGTCACTTTCTCCTATCTTGGCCATGGGTCTGCACACCATTAGACTTGGGAGGCCTTGTCATCCCAAACCTTAAAATTATAGGCCTCGCCTTACATTTGAGACAGGAAGGGATTACATGAACGGATGACTCTAGGATTTGGGTCGATCTCCCTAGAAAACAGAAAAGCTCGCATCATCTTTCTTCGATGCTTCACTTTACATCGAACTCGGGGACGGACGAAGCACTCTTTTGGATGGACAAATGGCTGCAAGGTATGTAGGTCCATAGCTGAAATTGCACCGAACTTGGCATTGACAGTTTCAAAGAGAATCAGATCATCTAGGACGGTGCATGATGCTTTGCAGGGACATTGATGGGTTCGCGACATCTTGGGTGCATTTGATTGTTCAGGTGTTTGTCGAATACTTACAGGCATGGGATTTGGCCAAACCAATACAACTTTGTCCAGTTGAGGAGGATCGTTTCGTTTGGGGTGGACCTCCATTACCTTTTATTTACTCGATGGCCTCAACGTATAGGGTCTTCTTTCACGGTCACATCCGGGGGCAAGAGTTCTTTGGATGACGAGGGTAGCAACGAAGTGCAAAATGTTCTGTTCGCTAGCACTGCATGGGAGGTGTTGGACAACAGACATGAGGCACTATCAGAGCATGGAGGGCAACAATACTTGTGCCTTGTGTGATCAGGTTGAGATTATCGACCATGTGCTTTTAGGGTGCTCCTATAGTTGGGAAGTTTGGTTCCTGGTATTACGAGCCATATGACTACAACCTCTGGTCCCAACTGTGAACAACAAGTTTGTTGACCGGTGGGTGTCCAGTAGGAAATGCGTGCACAAGTCTGGATGAAGTGGTTTCAACTGTCATGTAGTGCTAGTAGTTTGGTTGCTATGGAAGGAGTGGAATGGAAGTCTTTGATGGGTTTCAACATCATGATATTACTCCTGCGATTTGGATTAAGGAGGAGGCTATAGTAAGGAGGAGGTAGAGGTCTGGATTATGGCGGGGATTTAACGGCTTCGGTCACTCATTTTAGGTTAAAAAACAATGGCTAACTCAGTATGTACACCTAGGTTGCTTAGTTGTAGATTGTATGTAATAGTCTTTTCTATAAGTTGTCCATTGTGCCGGCTAAACCCTCCATGACTTAGTTGTGGTCATTTTGCTTCTCCACTTAATGAAGCCTAGGTGTGTTTGCGAAAAAGGAACTAAGGAAAGCTGCAATATGGTTAGCGCAGTTTTGCTTAATCGTTCTTTTCATCATTCTGTATGCAGAGACAGGGCTATGGCAAGCAGAATGAGATCCTCTCCAGTCAATTTACCTGTGTCTTGGTCACTTACATGTAGGCTTGATGCTTGTCAGACCCGCCTATCAATGACAAATGCACCATGCAATCAAACTCAGAGGAACTGATTCCTTGGCAATCTACTGAAACTGGATCATCATAACCCTATATATATTTGTTATTAATGCCTGAAAAAGGATCTCAAAATAACACTATGACAGTGAGAAAAAGTCAACATATATATACCTAAGAGCATTTTCAGCAGACTAGCTAAACAGGGCCCCTACTCCATTTTTATTAGTGGAGAAAAAAAATCCACTCCCCTCCCACTATCCACTTCTGTTGGCCCAACAAATGGGCACCTAAATTTCTGTTGGCAGTTTTCCCCTTCCCACGCTCACACACCCTAGCCGGTGCACGACTTCAGATCCACCGCCTCCATGACCGTTCCCCGCGGTGGCCTGCGGCCTGTGGCACCTCCACGACGTTGGCTGCGTTGGCCTATGGCCTGTGGCACCTCCCCGATGGTGGCCTTCTCCAGATGCACCGGACCCTCCCTTATGGTGGCCGGTGCTGCCTCCCCGCCCCTGCAGGTGGCCTGCGGCCCTTCCCTGCCCCGCCGATGGTTGAGTTAGCCATCCCCTTCCCCTGTGGCCTGCCCATGGCCAAATCGGGCATTCTCCGTCCCCCGACGATGGCTGAGTCGGCAGTTCTGCGTCCCCCACCGATGGCCGAGTCAGCAATTCTCCTTCCCCCACCGATGGCTGAGTTTTTCTATAGTGATGAGAGGAGGAAGAGGACGACATGCGGATTCCACATGTCATTCTCTATTATGATGAATTTGGGGGGGGTTTAGACAGTGTTGCTAGAGGAAACGACAACAAAAAATCGTATCGTACCAAAATATAAAAGTAGGGGCCCTTTTAGGTAGTTGTGAATATTGTAATTGTAACCGGTTCGAATTATGCACAGATTATTTTAACGAATCTCAATCAACTCACTAACATGCCTAGCATACTCAGATGAGAAAGACCCGATAACTAAGCAGATATTGAGCAAGGGACCTATCATACGGTAGTTTCAGAAAGGCAGACATACAGTAATAAGAACAGAAATATGTCTTGGACATGAGAGCCCAGCATATGACATCTTCAGTTTGGCCTTCAGATGGTCGCCTGGCCACTAAAAGACGGGGAAGACATGATGGTCAGCATTTCCGTCACAGAAGCCATGGCGCTTAGCGCTGCTTTAAGGACATCCTGCGAGCACCCGGGCTTCACAATGCTTTTCACCTTCATTGCGGACAAGCAAACACAGGGAGAAGCAAAAAAAGAAATGGTCAACCAACGCTCTGTATCGGTTTTGAAATGGTGAAAAGTCAATTAACAAAGTCAGTAAAGTACCTTCTCCAAGTACTCCTGCAACTGCTTGATTCTTCCCATGTAGTCCCGATCTTCAACGCACAATGAAATCGGCTTTGTATCAGCACCCTGCCCTTCGAACTGAAGTGGCCCAGGGTTTCGGTAGATGTCTTCCATCATGAAGCTGGAAGAGTTTTGTCTCAGCAGCCTGGAAAACAAAGAACATTTAGGGGCGTTTGGATCCTTTCATTTGGAGAAATTGAAATCTACTTAATAAACTATGCTATTTGGTTTCTCCTGTGTTTTTGAGAAAAAAAAACTATACTACTTGGTATGGAATTTGACATCCCATCACTTTCCAAAGTTCACATATAAGTCTATCTTAAATTTATAGGGTGGAAGATAGAAATTAATTCTATAGATCACCATGCTATGTTTCTACTTTGTAACTTATAACATGCTCGCTCCTCTACGGTAGAAATGCAACACATAAGTATCTCTAGTATAGCTAATAATAATATACAAATATAATCCATATAGAACCATATTAGCTTAAGTAATACGTGTCTAAATTATGATTAGTAAAATGAATTCAATTTCAAGATCCATACGGGCCTTAGTGAAAAACAACGAGAGCAGTTGAGCATTCGGCATTCAACCAACATTCGACAGATGTAGAAGAAAAAAGGACAAAATCCCAAAGCCCATAGAAAGAAGTGATGGCTAAATAGAATAAGATATACTTTCATACTTACTCGTATGCTTTTCCTTTCAAGTCAACACTCGCCATGTGGACAGCAGGCTTACCGATTTGACTCCTGGCAGGACCACGTGACCATCTCTTCACGGTCATCATAGACTGTTAACGAGGAAACGTTTACTCTTTCTTTGAATTGAACCTGAACTATGAAAAGCTGATTCATTTAAGAAAGGACTTCAATTATCAAAAATCTTACAGTAATGGGAGCACCACCACATTTCCACTTGTTTACTGGACTCTTAAGGTTGGTCACAGTGGCCATGTAGCCGTTCAAACCAGCTGCTATGATGTGATAACATACATGTCCAAGAACCTAAAACAAAACAATTCAATGGAGATTTAACAGCATAGCAATTTTCTGAGAAAAAAAGTGAAAGTGAATGCAAACCTACGTAGCCATAATCACAGTCAAATTTAGAAGGCAGGGCACCCCTGGCCTGGTATCCAAAAAAGTGGCAAATAGCATTGAACTTCTTTCCATTATAAGTGCCTTCCTTCTGTAAGAGAAGCCCAACAATGTGCAATGGCAAATTTAGTGCTTGTTTTACAAATGAAATTGAGAAATAGTTATGTGCAAGTCTGCAAATAGCTTACCAGGCGTTTGTTCATTTCAGTCTCAACCAATTGTGCCAGAAGCTTCTCAATCTCAATCTGCAAAGATAGACAGATAAAGTTTCTGTACAAAAGAATGTGCAATGAGCTGTTAGTGAACATCATTAAAATGTGGGAATGCCATAGTACCTGAGACAGTTGAGCTGAATCGTCAGATTCAGGATGGAGAAGCAGCTACGTGATGTAAACAACATTATTGAAGCAGCAGTAACTTGGCTAAATTACAGGTTCCTGAAAATAAGCGCTGAAAAAGAAATTGTACCTGTTTTCTAATGAATGGAGGCAAAAATTCAAATAGTGCAGATGCCCAAGGTGAAAGATGAGAAGAGATGTTCTCAACGGAAACACCTTTATTATGTAGTCCATGAATTTCCTGAAAGAATTAGGTCACCTCAGAAATGATTTTAAAGAATATAAAACCAGCACTCATCATTAAGGTGGTGAAACAAACCTGGAGCAAAGCATACAGTTCGGGAATACTCTCAACAAGACCCTCAGGAATAAGTACAACTCCATGATATTTGTCTGCGCAAGAAAATATCATCATCAGGAATAATTGCACCCGACATGGTACTTAGGTGCACGTGCACCTGATAATGACTACAGGGACTCTGTTACGATCACATAGTAGTAGTTCCTACCTTTTTCAGCTCTTGCCTGCACAGCATCACATATCTGTTTTGTAATATCAAATATTGTAAGTTTTGACGCAGCAACCTCCTCGCCTAGGATAACCTGAACATAGTTCAGTTGAGATGAAAATTTTTGTATATAAATTAACCAGGCATATACAATGGGGTAGCAGGATTCCTGACCATATTTGGATGTGATTGAAGAGCACATTCCAATGCCACATGAGATGCTTTCCGTCCCATCAGCCGAATAAAATAGTAATACTGAGAATAAGAAACAAAATGAGATTTATGGTGGCTAAGAAATACAAATAATGGGCACAAATTTTATTTGTATCAGAAAATCATCAATTTTATGTAGGGATGTCAGTACATGGTATATGATAAAATAAAATAAATTCAAAATAAACTGTGTACACTAATTCTATTATTCTGCCAGAGCTTTAAATATCATAACTTGCGTACACTAATTCTAAGTTATGATATTTAAAGCTCTGACAAAATAATTTAAGTTCCATAAGCTATGCTCAGTTGATAGATCCCAGAAAGTGACTGCCCAATTAGAGTGAAGGCTGCAGTGTTAAAACAGCGATCCAGCAATGACATCTTCCAATCACAGTTCAAATTGAAAAGGTTGGTTGTACTGTTTCTTCTCAAGAGCAGAAATAAGTTTTTGTTTTGTAAATATCTATAATGGAATATCGTACTCTTTCCTGCCCATAGAACCAATAAAGTGTTCTCAATAACCAAATGTATGTTAGGATGATATCTGGTGCATCTAACCTTTTCAGCAGAAAGAGCATCTGTGCATACATTGCTTATTAACTGCGAGTTCACCTGACAGAAAGGTAGAGATTATAAAACCATAAAAACTCAAACTTATTACAATAAATACTACAAGAGATTAGAGAATGCAACACAACTGTAGCACTAAATTCTGTATATGTTAAACTACAACAAAATATTGGCAAAATTACTTCTTATCTACCTTGGTAAGCACACTTGTGATGTTGCAAAGGTGACCAAGAAGTATTGGGGAATTAATAAGAAAATGAAATGACAAATGAGCTACAGCATACATGCAGGATGAAGGATTCAACTCCACAGTTTGATTTATGAAATTCTTTACCTTGCATATGGTATCAAAACCAACTGTTGTTTCAACAAATTGGTTCTTGAGATCTCCATTCAGAGTTACAGGAACACCAACTACCTGCTCGAAAAGTTATTGTCAGATTGTTTACATATGAAAAATACAGGTTTCTGTTCGAAATGATCGAGGAACTAAAAATGCAAAGCAAATATCATCCAACCTTTGTTGGACATTTCAACTCAGCAAATGTCTCAGCAAGCTGAGCAGCATCCGTGTTGGATGTGACACCTTTAATTAAAGATCAAAGAAAGACATTATGAGCTTGTATCTGATCTAAATCATAGATAAAACTCAGCAAACAAACAAAACAAACAATACCTCCAATTATAACAAGAGCATCCAGCTTCAATGCCTGGCAAGTAGCCATTGCTGCCTTTACCTGCTCAGTTGTTCTGATCTGATCCCTTGTCCGACCAAGCATGTCATAACCACCTTGATTCTTATAGGATGAAAGAGCTTCATCGGTGATTTCCATAGTTTTCTGTGCAAATAATCCATCAGTTCCTCCTGGATCAACACATAGACAGAAATAAGTCATAGGTGGAGCACATAAAGGATCCATTCTATGTTCACCATCAACCATGCGTGTAAAATGTCAATTGGACCTAGTAAGACACAAAGCATGTATCTATTTCTTATATATATTTTAATAGAATGTAGATAGGTATTGTTGATACCACTGAAAACTTAATACAATCTATGTGGCAACCTCAATAATGGTTTTAAAATTTTACCTGTCACCAAATTCAGAAATTTTCATGATTTGGTTGATAAAAAAGGTGCTGTGAAGTGCAATTATAAACTTCCAACGGTTACTGCATCATACAAAAGTAGAATACATCGCCCTTATAACCTAGTTAACTTGCACAGTTTGCTCGAACAACAAAAGATGCAAGTGACAGAAGTTGCCGGTCTATTATCTTGACTAAATCATAATTTTCTCCTTAAGTAACCCTATTTGCTTACCAAGAAAACCAATAATTTTGCTGTTTGAGTTGTGGGCCTTTATAGCATCATAGAGGCCCCATATAACATTGTGCCCTCCTGGGGATTGCCTCCCACTGAAGACAACGCCAACCCTGCATCCCATGCACACATTAAATGCAGAGAAGGAAAAACGTTAGAAAGAGATATGCTTCAATCAACAAGATTACATGAATTTTGTGCAATGGATGATTTGCTGCCCAGAATCAAACGCTTGTGTTGTGAACTCAGGCAGCTTAAGCAGCATGGATACGGATAAGTGTATCGATATCGGAAGGATACGGATACGGGGATATGTCAATTTCACAGAAAACATGATACACGGATATGTTTTACCTTTTTAATAAATTAATAAATATAAATAAATAATAATGCAGATTAAAATTGTGAGAGTCTAAAACTTGAGTTTCACAGACAAATTGTGAACTCAGGCAGCTATTGTCCAGCTAAATACTATACTGAGAAAAAAAAAGGATTGTGTTTTACAGATAACAGAGAAATTTAAAATAGGTTAAAGAGGAACCGTGCAGTGCTGGTTTTTGCTGCAAAGTATTGAAATGGTAGAACGCTGAGCAGAGAACCATCTTTGCTTTATATGAGATATACAAGGCTTGTCACAATTCATGTGCTAAATTAGTGTATACATGCTGGAGCAAAAATAGATGGGAAAATATGGCATTTGGAATTGCAAACTTCAGTTGTAAGGAAAAAAAAATGCACAAAGACAAAGACACTGATAAAAAAAGGCCGATCTTGGAAGATGAGTGTACCTGACTACAGGGTGCTCTGTTATGATGCTTGCGTCGGGCACATTGGCCGTCTTCGTGAGAAAATGTGCCAGCGGCTGGCCATAGGTGTGGGGGAAGGCGTGGCTGATGACGTGAGCATCTGCGATATCGGCCGCGATTGCAGCATCACCGTACTCCACCGTGACCGTGGTGCCCTGAATTCCATCCAGTGCAGAGTTCAGAGGAGGAAGAAACCCGTAAAATCAGTCGGTCAAGAACACTGGCCTACCCGACCAGGCAAGTGAATTTTGGCCTAGAGAATTTTACAAGACGATAAATACGAGACTCCTCTGAATGATATTATTACTAGTGGTTAATGATTGGCGTGCTTTCGCTTTCCCTTTGGCTCGTCGCAACTCGCAACCCCCTGCTATGTGGCGGGAAAAACGGCACAACCACCTCTGCTCCAGGCGAAAGGAGCAGTGAATTAATGCTTGTTTATGTGTCGCTTGTTGAGCCATGGAATCTCAGATCCAAGCCTCCACAGTGGAGAGTGACCATTACTGGTGCACCTAAAACCCCCCACACAGTGCTGCATCATGGTACCCCACCCCGTACCCATCTGAAAGCGAGGGAAAATATTCGGAGTCGGAACAGATAAGCATCGCCGCACCAAACCGACCTACCCCGCCTCGACAAGATCGATCGATCTGGAGGACGACGGAGGAGAGGATATAAGCAGTGCGCTTGGGGAACCCGGGACATGCCGGCGCCGCCGCGCGCGTGCGGATCTCGAGCCGGACGGATCATCGATCGGCAATGGCGTTGCGAACCAGGGAGGGCGGCGGTCGGCGGTAGCCGGTAGGTACGTAACACGAGCAGCAGATGGATGCATGGTACCTGGAGGCACGGCGGGGGCTCCGGTCGGTAGAGCGCGCGCGCCTTCTGGAGCGGCGACAGCTCGCGCGGCGCGCCGTAGTCGGAGTCCATCGCCACGCTGCCCATCGCCGGCTCGGTCGATCACTCCCCGCCTCGGTGCGCGGATCCCAACGGAGTAGGACGGTCGGTCTGGTCGATCGCTTGCAATTAAAATCGCAGGGCGGCCGCGGCTTTTATATCGGGCCGGGAGCCGAGGGGCGCGCCGCGCGGCCGCTCAGCCAACGGAGCCACCAACCAGCGCCTGCGGCACGTCACGCGCCGCGCACGCAAGCACGCGCAACGGAGTACCATCCGACAGTACTGCGTCGCCAATGCGGCATACACCATGTCACCATCCAGCGAGCGATGCCAAATTGGCAATGAGAACACGTGGCGGGCCGGGTAGGTTACGCGGTTCCACCGGAGCGGCCAAAACCATGCGCCGATGCGCCCCTCGCTCGTGGTGGCCGCAGCGCAGGCATATAGGCATTCTAGCTGGCTGTGTTTGGTTGTGCGTTCGCGAGCATGGCCACCGCATTTGTTTCAGTTACCGGGGAGATCTAAAATACATTACTTTAAAGGATTTTATTTGCTTTCGGCGCAGCTGGAACGATTTAATTTGTTTTATAATAACCAGTAAACATATCCGTACGTTGCAACAAGATATACAACTTTTTACATGATTAGATAAATATATTTGTGGCTCGAAAAATTTATTAAAAATCATACCATCACTAGAGCACGGTTCTAACTACACGGGCTACGAGTCCATATCGCATACGAGATATAGCGGAAGGATATAGCTTTTGTTTGGGACTGCTCTAATCTAGTTATTGTAACTCTGTTCTCAATTTTGCTTATCAAATAGGTCAGCTATATAAACTTTGCTCTAGAAAAAAAAAGGTGAAGTTGGGGCTAACTGCATGTTTTTTATGCAGCTTCTCAAAGGATAATGTAGAATCTGAAGTTTCCAATCCCTCCATAGAATTATGGAAAAATTACCCATTACTACCGCTAATTACACATATACAACTTTCTTTATGTTTCTCCGTAACATTAGCAGGGTGTAGCCATAACTTTCGGTGCTTGACGGTCCACTTGTCATAGTTGTATGCAGGGTGTAGCCGTAGTCTTCTGTAAATAGTGGTCGTATGTTTATAGTTTTCAGGCTCGGTTTCTCTTATAAAAAGAATCAATTCTCTTCTTCTTTTTAATATACCAGGTAGTGTGCCCGTGCGTTGCTACAGAATAACTAAATCTTTTATACTAAAAACACACGGATAGCACGATAAGATAACAATACTGTTAAATTAAATACCGACGTCAAAGTGACATTTAATTCAAAAGGCAAAGTTCGTGAAATTAACACACGGAGAGCACGACGTCGTAGGCTCACAAACTCTACTGTATAGATTTTTTCGTGATGCGGCTAAGATAATATTTTATATCGGCAGAAAGAATTCTACGATATCCATTTCTTTCATGCGCCAATAAATCTATGAATAAATTCCACTGCATGTCCATATAATCATGTACACACAGGTTCGAGTATATATGTAAATAGGTTCATGCCCGTGCGTTGCTACGGGACAGCTAAACTTTTGTACTAAAAACACACGGATCGCACGATAAGATAACAATTATGTAAAAGTATATGACCGACGTTAAAGTGACATTTAATCCAAAAGGCTAAGTTCGTGAAATTTACACAGTCACAGAGAGCATGGCGTCGCAGGCTCACAAACTCTACTGTGTAGATCTTTCCGTGATGCGGCTAAGATCATTTTTTATACCGGCAGGAAGAGATTTCCGATATCCATTTCTTTCGTGCGCCAACAAATCCATGAATAAGTTCCACCACATCTCCATACCATCCTGTACACGACGCTGGCAAGCGAATTAGCTACAACTTATGTAATTAGTTTTATAATTAGCTCATGTTTAGTCCTCCTAATTGATATCTAAAAATTCAATGTGACAGGGACTAAAGTTTAGTCCTGGGATCGAAACACCCCTAACTCTCAACTCCTGCTAGCTGCTCACTTGCACCACCATGCCTATGTGTCTGCACGTATATACTCTAATGTCAGAACGTCTAAGATAGTCTTTAAGGTTGCCATTTGTGTATGCTGTAGGATTGGGATGCTTTGCACAGATCCATGAGGGTGTTCATGAGAGTCGAAATTTTTTATGCCATTATGATGTCTAAACTTACCAATGAGACAGAGACAAACTTAATTGTTAAAATATTTTCAACACTGGTTTCATATACTCCCTTTGTTCCAAAATAGAATTCATTCTCGCTTTCCGGGAAGTCAACTTTTTTTAACTTCGGCCAATTATAATACAGGTATTTTTTACATGCATGTGGCCTCAGGAGTCGACCAATTGATTGTTAAATATTGCACGTATTTTTTACAAACCTAGTCAAAGTTGAGAAAGTTTGACCTGCACACATCCCATAACGACTTATATTTTGGGGCAGAGAAAGTATATGCTAATGGGAGTAGTCAACTGGAAGTCGTGATGAACACAACAATACTTTCATATTATATGCTAATTGGAGCACGAAGAAACGCAGGGGATTGGACCTATATACGAATGGTGGGAATATTCGTTTAGAAAATTGCAGAAGGTTCACCAGTCTCACCATGTATAACCTGCACATCTTTTATTTGGCACCACTAATATTCTCAAAGGAGCAGCCACTTTTTAATTTCAGGTCTACATGCTGGAAACACTAATATTTAGGGCCAACCTCATTGAGTCGTCTTGCTTGATCTTTGCCAATTGTTTCCTTCCATGCATGATTATTGTTTTCTTCCATGCATGTGGCCTCAGGTGATCGATTTGTTTCCTTCAAAGCAGTCGGGGATCGCAAGGATGGTAGTTTCTTTTTCTATCGCGCGGGGTATCGCATGGCCGAAAGAGAGGAGTCTTGCTTGATCTTTTCCAATTGTTTCCTTTCATGCATGATTATTGTTTCCTTCCATGCATGTGGCCTCAGGTGATCGATTTGTTTCCTTCAAAGTAGACAGGGATCGTAGGGATGGCAGTTTCTTTTTCGATCGTGCGGGGTATCGCATGGCCGGAAGGGAGGAGTCTTGCTTGATCTTTGCCAATTGTTTCCTTCCATACATGATTATTGTTTCCTTTCATGCATGTGGCCCCAGGTGATCGATTTGTTTCCTTCAAAGCAGCGGGGTCATAGGGATGGTAGTTTCTTTTTCTATCGCGGGGTATCGCATGGTCGGAAGGAGGAGCAACCCAAAAAAAAGTCGCACAAAAAAAATAGTCTTACTTTTAGTCTTTTTAATTGCAGGAGATATGCCAGGACAATATGTTCTTGGACCGTTAAAAAAAAATTAGCGCTGCATGCTGATGTCACCCCAACTCAGAGAACCCTAGTGCTGCCGCCACTAATTCCCACCACCACAGGCGCTATACTCCGACGAGATGATATATGGAATAGATAGATCCAATGGTGCTCTACCGTATGAAGTTGACTTTGGACCAAAAAATCTCATCCCTTTTGTTTACCAACAAAGCTCAAATCACCGCCTTGGTTTGTGGAGGAAGTTCATCGCCGTTGCCAAGGTTAGGGCTCCCCCACATGGCCGTCTCAACAATTTCAAGGCCCTTAGGCAAGGAAAGGGCGAGGGCCTAGCAATATTTAGCGCCTATTTGGTATGGCTACGGTTCTGGCTCCAAATTCAGCATCAGCTGGTGTTTTCCTAAACGCTAAATGGTAAACAGTCAATCACTTACCGTTTAGCCATTATTCAGGCTAAACGGTCCATTAAACGGGCTAAATAGCCAATTAAACAGAATAAACAAACAACTAAACAGAAACGGTGTACCACCGTGTAGCGTCTTCACATTGTTTAAATAGGCTAAACGGCCGTTTAGGTGAACAGTGGCTTCAGCTTCTACAGAGGAATCGAAGGAGACGTACCAATACTTTAGGAGGAAAAGCTGTTTCCGATGAATAGTAGAGGGAGTCGAAGCCATTTTTAGGATTGGAGAAGGAGCTAAGGAGAAGACATGCCAAACAAGCCCTTAATATGACGATTAAAGTACAGAATACTACTAATAACAGTTAAATTGCAGCATATATTAGAAGCAATTGGGAATAGCCGAATATCGGAATAGAAAGCGACGGTAAACTAATTCCTTATTGCTACACTTGGGTTAATGTACGGGCCTTTTTTTTCAATAGACCGAATACATATTTTTTAGAGAAATAGACCAAATACTACATGTACTAAATACTATGTACATACATATACTTATGGGCCCTTTTTCATGGCATGGCCCCGTCGCAAATTGCCCACCCTCCTAAGATGGCCTAACCCGGCTGAGTCGGTCGCCCTACATAGCCACGCTCTCTTGGCCCTGGCTAGCCCCCGCTGACCAGCAGCCAATCCAGGCCCCCACAGCCGCCTAGGCCCGTGACATCCAGGCCACGGCCGGCCACGGGCAAGCCCAGGTACAAGGCGGTCTGGGGAAGGTGCAGGCCGCGCCACTGCAGCTGTTTTGAAGAACCTCGTGCTTATTACTCGTTGCTGCATGATTTTTCTGACTCTGAACCCATTACTGCAGACTTGTATGCGGACGGTACGTCGGTACCTCTGTAATCGGTTAATTGAACTATGGCCTCCTTGCTACAACTTAATTTCTATCCGACTATCTCCTTTTTCTGACCGTAAACATAAAATCCATTTGTGTTATTGTCAGTGCAGTCCCCGCGCGGTTGGTCCCTGCTGGTACGCTGGAAACCACCACCTTCCTGTTATGAACTACTCCTTTCATTTCAAATTATAGGTTGGTTTGACTTTTTTAATTCATATATAGATACATAGCAAAAGAAATATAAAAAAATTAAAATAACTTATAATTTGGAACGAAGAAAGTACTCAGCAAGGAGTTCAAACATTGATGCAGGGACCGAGAAGCTGTTGAAGCTTCATGTCCTTGAATGACTATATATCATCAACAGAATGCTTATCGGTTCGCACGTGTTGCCAATCCGAGTGCTGTATCAACTGGCGGTCTGGGGCTGTATTGTGAGGATGGTGAGTTAGTGC